ACAGTAGTCCAGGCGGGAGGTGACGAGAGCATGAGTGACTGTGTGCAAGGCGTCCCGGTCCAGAAAAGGTCGCAACTGGTGAATCAGGCGAACCTGATAAAACGCCCCCCTGGTCACGGCCGACAAATGGTCATCCAATGTCAGCCGTGAATCCAGGAGGACTCCCAAGTTGCGCGCCCTCTCTGAGGGGGCCAAAATTGCCTTCCCTTCCCCAAAGGTCAACCATCCTACTCCCATTTCCTGAGGTGAATCCTCAACTCCATCCTTATATAAAAATGTTTTCATTTCCCCTCTCATGATATCTGAAATTCATATTCCTTTTCCCTTATTTTCTTTTCTTCCTTTTTGCAATCCCATTTTTTCTCCAGTCACAGAGGAAACGCCATTTGACCCCGCTTTCTCCACCAAGCAGCCTCGTTGTGAGGTAAAATTTCTGGAATATCTATCAGTTTGAGCTTTTTAATCCATTTGGGGACTGGTTTTTAGATATTTCTTTTTCTTCGGCGAGCCCAAGAGGGGCCTTTCTCCTACTCCCAAGCCCATCATCGCTGTCCTCCCCTTCCCCTCAAATGATCTTTCACTTTCCCGCCTTTCCGGGGAATCCTGGCACTTCGCGCAGAGCCCACCAAGGGGCGCTCTTAGCCTCAGGAGTGAACTGAGCATGCGCATGACTCCTTCTGTGCCACAAGGAACGTTCCTAGCAAGAGGCTTCTCTTTTCCCCCTCCCTCCGCTGAGAGGCGGGGCGGGGCCTTTGCAGGAAGCCCAGAGGTTGCCGGGAAGCCTTGTCGGGACGCGCATCTCGACGAGACTCCCGAATTCCGTGAGTGGCGGCCGGCCAAGTCTTCCCTCGGGGTGGGAGTCATGGATCCCATGTTCCCCTGCTGCCCTTTCCCATGCAGGGGCCAGGCGGCGGGGGTGGAGCAAAGGAGAGAAATAGGGGTCGCCAGAAGGCAGGGGCCGTTTCCCCCCATTTCCTCTGCATGGGGGGGGGAAGGGGGAGGCTAGCCGGAAGTCGTCCTGCCGGCTCTGGGTTTAAGGCTGGAAGTCTGAACTTCTGGAACTGGCCACGTTGGACCAAGGCTGGATTAGGCTAAGAAGTGGGAAACAACCTCTGGAGACCAAACATTAAACTAGGGTCAGATCTTCCACAGTTCAGCCTGTCTTAGGAGGAGGATTGGACAGGATAGCATCTTCACTTGTTGTTTCACTGGTTAAGTCTACACTTTCTAATTCTTGGAATTTCTTTCCATCTCAGAAATATAACCTGCAAGCCATTTGTATATCTTCAAAATTGTCTTTTGGCTAAAGAGGGCTGAATGACGTACGATGGTCAGTCCTGAGGCTAGAGGAAGAATCCTATGAATAAAAAGCATTTGGAACCCATTTGGAGTTGCGTTACAGAACAGAAAAAGAATGGAGATACAACTTTTAGCAAGTGAGGGAATTGGAAAAGGCCCCTTTGCCATTCAGCTTGGAAGTTGTGGGGAAGGCTGTTTAAGAACTGGGCAAAAGATCGTACAGAAGGAAACCATCCATTCAGAAGTTCAGCTCTGGAACTTCAGGAGCATCCAATACCAGAAGGCTGACGGTCCCCGAGGACTTTGCAACCAAATCCACAACTTCTGTAGGCGATGGCTGAGACCAGAAAAGCACACCAAAGCCCAGATGCTGGACCTGGTTGTTCTGGAGCAGCTCCTGGCTATCCTGCCCCCAGAGATGGAGAGCTGGGTGCGGGAGTGTGGAGCAGAGACTAGTTCCCAGGCAGTGGCCCTAGCTGAAGGTCTCCTCTTGAGCCAGGCGGAGGAGAAGAAAGAACAACTGGAGTTGCAGGTGAGAGACCTTCATCTAGGGAACCCAGAATGAAATAAAGATTTTCTTTGAATTCTTTATCGCTCCTTCCCAGACTTCTCGGGTGTTCATAGTATGTGGAGATGTCCCACCAGTTTTGTAGGACATTATTCCATTCATTTCTCCCTCAGTCTCATTGATGGATATTGGGGACACTTTTAGGTTGTGTTCAGAGAACAATTAATTAATCCATTAATTCTTCTTTCTCCTTCCTCCTATTTCACTGTGGAGATCAGAGATCCTGAGGGAAAGTGGAATCCATCAGATCCCCTTCAGGAGCTGTTTTTCAGGAGGATATCTCAAGAAGAGGACACCTCAGGTAAAGCGAAGGTCCTCCATATTTCAGAGAGGTCCCAGCTACCTTACCTTTTCTATCTCTTCCCTTCTGTAGAATACCTCCTATTTTGTTAGTTATGATGTATTTTAAAATTCTCTATTACTCACAGAGAAACAAAGGATGGGGTTTTCTGGTGTTTATGATGGAGCAGAAACAGTGGTTGAACCTCCAAATCAAGTAAGTTATGGAAATTAATTTATTAGATTTAATAATAGTAGTAGTAGTAGTAGTAGTAATAGTAGTAGTAGTAGTAGAAGTAAAGTTGGAAGGGACCTTGGAGGTCATCTAGTCCAACCCCCTGCTCAGGAAGTAAACCCTATATCATTTTGGACAAATGGCTGTCCAGTTTCTTCTTAAAAACTTCCAGTGTTGGAGCATTCACCGCTTCTGGAGGCAGGTTGTTCCACTGGTTAATTGTTAACTGTCAGGAAGTTTCTCCTTAGTTTTAGGTTGCTTCTCTCCTTGATTAGTTTCCACCTGTTGCTTCTTGTCCTGCCTTCAGGCGCTTTGGAAAATGGCTTTACTCCCTCTTCTTTGTGGAGCCCCTGAGATATTGGAACACTGCTATCATGTCCCCCCTCGTCCTTCTCTTCATTAAACTAGACATACCCAATTTGTAGTCTCCCTTTCCTTCAAGAAGAGAAGCTGATGTGTAGACCACTCTCTCCTTCCATTCCCCCTGCCCCATTTTGACTGGATTATTTTTGTGTTCCTGAGCAACATGGGAAAGGGAATAGTGGGTTCAAGTTGCAAATGGAAAACGGGTTGAAGTTGCTCCTAA